CGGGGGCTGCTCCAGCGGGGCCCCGCCGGGGAGGGGCGGCAGGAGGGCCGCGCGGCCGCGGTCTGCAGGGCCAGGGGGCGCGGGGTCGCCGGGCTGGGGGCTACGGAGTGGGCCGGACTCTGTGGGGCGCAGACGGCCCCGGCCGCCGCCCCTGCCCTCCGGGCTGCCGCAGTCGCCTCCTCCCGCCCGGCTGTCAGCCGCCAGGGGCTTGCGGGCCCCGCTCCCTGGCCTGGCCCTGGCAGACGTGTCGTGGGGGATCTGTGGACGCCACCCCTCCAGATTGGGGGACACGCAGTTGCATACCCGCGTCGGGATGTTAAGGATCCCGGAGTCTGGTTTCCGCGACCTTGGCCAAGGCACTGACCCTCTGTTTTCCCCCAGGGAAAGTGGGGACATGTCTACCCTTTTGGACAGGATTGTTGTCAGGCTATGTGAATGTGTGTGAAAGTGCCTGGGCACGAGCCCAGGTTGATAGGTGGAAAATTGGGCGGGATACTGCCCATGCTGATGTGAGTAGGGCACGAACCCCCTCCCCATCCACGCAGAGACCCCCCCATCCCCATGCTTCTCCAGTGCCTAGTCATTGCATATTCAGTGCCTAGCAGTGCCAGAGCGGCCCTGCCCACCTCCCCTACCACTCCCACCACCCAGAGCTCTGCTCTCCTGTCCCACCCATCTTCTCACCGCGCAGCCCTGTTTGCCTCAGGACCTTTGCACTTTCGTTTCCAATGCTTGGAGCTGTCTCCAGCGGCTTTGCACAGCTGGCTCCTTCTGGTCTTTCCTCTGGTCAGATGTGTCTTTTTCTACAAGGCCTTCCTTGACTACTCATTTCTCCCCTTAGTCATTCTATCTCATTAATTTAATTTTCTTCTTAGTGTTCACTCTGGTTTGAAACGATTCTATTTATTTATGTTTACTTTGTTTCCTCTACAAGGAAGTAGCTTTATGAAAACAGGTAGTTGTCGGATTTGTCCACTGCTTCGTCCCCAGTACTTAGAAAGCACACAGTAAGCTCAGTGATATCAGTTCAATGAATGAATGAATGAATGACCCTACCCGCTGTTGCTTCTGCTTTGTCAGTTTATTGAAAGACTTCTAACTAACTTGTGAAACCTGTAAGCAGATGGAAGCTTGTTCTCATTTAAAAGTCCTTGACCCCTTTATTTGGTAACTGTCAGAACAAGCTGTAATATAAATTTTGACATTTTTGTAATATTTTAGCTCTCATTTCCTTCCACACATTCAGGAGGCATTTGCTGAATTCTACATTATCTAGGTCAGGCTTTCTGCTCGCCTTGGGGACACAAAGGCAATAGCAACAGGGTCCCTTCCTCCTGAGAGTCCCAGTAGAGGAGGCAGACAGGCAGACAGGTTAGTGCCAGGACAGTGTGATGATGCTTGTTGTAGTGGAGGTGCTGTGCCATGGCATGGAAAGGTGGAGGTGACAGGTGGCGCTGGAGTTGGACCATGAAGGATTGTGAGAAATTTGCCAGGCAGGGAGAGGCACCGAAAGGGAAAGGGCAGGGTGAAGGAAGGACATCAGCCCAGTGTGGGGTCAGGAATCAGCCTGCAGGGCCAGGTGTAAAAGAGCATGGAGTGGTGGGGACCCTGGAAAACCAAACCTCAGCCAGCAATTTTAAAAAAGAGGTCAGAACTCTACATTGCATTTCTGCTCTCCTGATTTTTAAATGCTGGCAATTAATTATTAGTTGTAATAATTAATGCTCTGAACCATGTAAAATTCATTTAGTTCGGTTGCAGGATTGTCGATCTCCAGGGCAGGTTACGTAGGAGGCAACAGCTGCAGTGAGCTGGAAACGTAGCCCCAGGCCAGTGAAGCTAGGCCCTGTTTGTCCATGTACTTCCACTTAATTTTCACTGGAGTCCTGTAAGTGGCAGCTGTGACACCCGTTTCTTCAGAGGAGTACATGGAGGCTCACAGAGTTCCAGCAGTCAGCTTCAAGGCAGGTAGCTGGAAAGTGAAATTTGAACCCAGGTCTCCCCCAGCTAAGCGTCCTTTCCTGGGTGCCTCAACTCTGATGGTTCTCTTTTGGCTTTTAATTTGTTCTGAAAGCAAAACATCCAATCTAGAAGTTTTCCTTCACTTAACCCTTTTTTTTTCTTTCAAAAGGATCCTGTGGGGTTAAAAAGAATCCTATTGTGGCATAGTCTTCTCTGGAGAGCTTTGATTTTCCTAAGGATTTAATTTTGGGGATGCCAGGACAGATGAAAATGTGTTTCAAATAAGTGTTAGAGGGCATATTCAATTTGTCGATTTAAAATATAGAGTTCTTGGGGTGCCTGGGTGGCTCAGTCAGTTAGTTGAGCGTCCAACTTCGGCTCAGGTCATGACCTCACGGTCTGTGGGTTCAAGCTCCGAGCCTGGAGTCTGCTTCAGGTTCTGTGTTTCCCTCTCTCGCTCTGCCCCTCCCCACTCATGCTCTGTCCCTCTCTCTCTCTCTCTCTTTCTCAAAAATGAAAACACTAAAAAAAATTTTTTTAAATAAAGCGTTCTTAATTTTCTGGATAAAGACAAAGGCCAGATGAAGCAATTAATAGTAAAGCAGTCATTTTTGTGATGCATAAAGTAGAACAGAAACCACATTTGGCAGCAGGACAGATATTTGTTATATACATATGTAGCTATACTTCACTACTAGTTAAGAAGGTGACATTTTTGGGGTGCCTGGGTGACTCAGTCAGTTAAGCATCCCTCTTCGGCTCAGGTCATGATCTCATGGTTCGTGAGTTCAAGCCCTGCATCAGGCTCTGTGCTGACAGCTCAGAGCCTGGAACCTGCTTCGGATTCTCTGTCTCCTCTCTGCGCCTCCCCCACTCGCCCCCTGACTCTCTCTCAAAAATAAGTAAACATTAAAAAAAATTTTTTTTTAATGTATAAAAAAAGAAGGTGACTTTTTAACATCACTTTCTTTAAGAATAATTAAATTCCTACTTGACCTTTTGTGATTGTGTGAGCTAGTTTCAAGGTCAGTCTTTATTTTTACTGTTTATTATGAAAACTTTCAAACATATGCAAAATTAAACAATAGTCTCCAGCTTCCACAGTTATCAGCTCCTGGCCCATCTTGTTTCACCCCAACCTCATCTACTTACACCCTCACACCCCCACCCATGTTATTTTCAAGCAAATCCTAAATGTCATGTCATTCAATCCATGAATATTTCAATATGTGTATCTAAAAGATAAGGACCCTTTTAAACTTGGAAATGCAATAATTCCTCAGTATAATCAAATAACCAGTCAATATTCAAATTTCCAGACATCCCATAAGTTTTATAGTTCTTTAACAGTTTGTTTATAGGAATCAGGATCTAGATAAGTTCCATCCGTTATGATTGGTTGATACATCTTTTAAGTTTCTTTTAATCTGTAGATTCCCCCTTTATTTCTCTTCTTTTGTCTTCCTTGTAGTTTATTTGTTGAAGCAGTTGGTTGTTCTATACCATTTCCATAGTTGGGATTTTACTGGCTGCGTCTCTGCAGTGTAATTTAATGTGTTTCTCTGTATCTCCTGAAAATTCACAGTGGGATTAAGATGAGGCTTAATGCCCTAGAATCAGAATGCCCTCGGTGGGGTGCTGTCTTCCATCTCATTAAAAAAAATTTGTTTTTACTGTTTACTATTCATTTTTGAGAAAGAGAGAGTGAGAGAAGAAGGGGCAGAGAGAGAGGGAGACATAGAATCCAAAGCAGGCTCCAGGCTCCTAGCTGTCAGCACAGAGCCCAACTCAGGGCTCGCATTCACGAACCACGCGATCATGACCTGAGCTGAAGTCGGATGCTCAACTGACTCAGCCACCCAGACACCCCCATCTTCCATCTAGAAGCAGTTAAAGCTGGCTGGCTCATGCTGCGATGTTAGCAGCTATTGAGGCTCAGTGTCTAGACCCATTGATTCATTAGGGGTTCTATTATTTGGGAGGCAAGTTTATATGTCTTTTGCACAACAAGAGCTCATTTTTTTTAGGCATTTGTGGTTTATTATTTTTTTAATCTTTATTTATTTTGGAGAGCGAGCGAGAGCAGGCGAGCAGGGGAGGGACAGAGAGAGGGAGACAGAAGATCTGAAGAAGGCTTCGCCCTATCAGTGCTAGGCTGGATTTGGGGCTCAAAACCATGAACCGTGAGATCGACCTGAGCTGAAGTCCACACTTAACAGCCTGAGCGACCCAGGTGCCCCTCATATTGGCCTTTGAATTGCCGTTTAAAATATTTTTTTTCTTTTTTTTCAACGTTTTTATTTTTTATTTTTGGGACAGAGAGAGACAGAGCATGAACGGGCGAGGGGCAGAGAGAGAGGGAGACACAGAATCGGAAACAGGCTCCAGGCTCTGAGCCATCAGCC